GCCATGCTCCGGGAAACGATAGAGTACCGGTACTACGTCGTTTCCCGGAGCATGGCACGATTGGCGCGCGCGAGGATGTCGGCGCCGCTACCGCCCTTGTCCCTCGCCGACGACCACAGATCGAGGAACCTTGGCTTTGGCTCGTACCGCCTCGCGCTGCACGTGGATCACCGCAACGTGGACAATGGCGTAGTCCTCCGCGTCCTCGGTGGCGGTCGCCGCGGCCGGATCGCCACTCATGCGAGCTATCGATGGCATGGCGGCCTGGCGGCCACCGAAGGGACGGGAAGAAAAACGGGAGGTGGTGTAGCAGCAACGCGCGGCGTTGAAAAACGCAACCCCGCACGTCGGCTGACGCTGCTACCCCCAAGCCCCGGGTGGTCACAGCGCAGCCGGGGCGCCCCTGACGAATGAACTGCCGCAGAATGTGATCTCTCTCTCTCTCTCGTTCCTTCAGTTTGCCGTTTCGGCACTTGGTTGCCCAAAGAAGTGGGGACGAGGAGCGTCCTTGTTCAACGTGTGGGTTCGTGTGCGAGCGAACGTTCCAGGAAAATGTTTGGAACATTTTCCGGACCGGTCTTCATATTACAGAACACGTGCAGCAGACATGGCAATATCATACCTCGAGGGCAGGGCTTCCCGCAAGGGTAAGCATTGCCGTGCTGACCATCTCCAAGGTCTGGTCGCCGCTCTCGCCGAGCAGCAGCAAGGGCTGGTTGGCGGCGATGACGTTAAGAGCCTCCAGCACGTCTCCGGCGGCAGACTCGTCCCCCGCGTTGACCGTGGCCTGCGGTGCGATTCGTTTCGTTTTCGATTTTTCGTTATGTTTTGATTTCCGTTTTCGCTTTTTTCGTTCCTTTTCGTTCCACATCGTTTCGTCGTTATTCGGTTCGTTGTTCGTTTCGTTTCGTTTCATTTCGTTTCGTTTCGTTGTTCGTTTCGTTTCGTTTCGTTTCGTTGTTCGTTTCGTTTCGTTTCGTTTCGTTTCGTTTCGTTTCGTTTCGTTTCGTTTCGTTTCGTTTCGTTTCGTTTCGTTTCGTTTCGTTTCGTTTCGTGTCGTCGTGCGTTTCCTTTTCGTTTTTCGTTTCCAACAAAAAATGCCCGAACAAAGAAAAAGAAATCGACACCCACCTCAACGACGGACATGATCCGCGGAACTAGAGAAGGTGCCACCGCAGCTGATGGGCCTTCCAACACATGGACGCACGGAGGCGAAAGGCAAGGAACGAGGGGGGGGCGTTCGATGAAAAGGCGTGGTGATCGCGTTAGGTCTGTCAAGATTTTGAGTCGGTCCGAGGAGGGCGATTAGCGTCGCGACCGCTAGAGAGCGTGGCAGTTTGTTGAGGAATCGCATCTCAACCCAGAAACGTGCAGAAGACAGCTTTGGTGATGCCTCCAGGGGCGAGCTGCGTGGCGGTTTGTTTGTTTTTGGTTATGCACCGTGGTGACGACGACGGCGATAGCACAACAACCACACCAACACAACAGCAACAACAACAACAACGACAGCAACAGCAACAACGACAGCAACAACAACAACAACAACAGCAACAACAACAACAACAGTAACAACAACAACAAGAACAAGAACAAGAACAAGAACAAGAACAAGAACAAGAACAAGAACAAGAACAAGAACAAGAACAACAAGAACAACAAGAACAACAAGAACAACAACAAGAACAACAAGAACAACAACAACAACAACACAACAGCAACAACAACAACAACAACAACAACAGCAACAGCAACAACAACAACAACAACAGCAACAACAACAACAACAACAACAACAACAACAACAACAACAACAACAACAACAACAACAACAACAACAACAACAACAACAACAACAACAACAACAACAACAACAACAACAACAACAACAACAACAACAACAACAACAGCAACAACAACAACAACAACAGCAACAACAACAACAACAATAACAACAACTGGTAGGCCCTGACCAAGGATAAAACATTCTCGTCACCAAAGCACCTGGCAGCCAGTCCTGCCAAGGGCGACGCGTGCAAAACACAAGCACGATCACCATCACCATCACCACCACCACCGCAACACCAACGACAACAACAACAACAACATGGAGGCCCTAACAAAGGCAGACAAAAAAAAATTACGGTCGAGCCAAAAATCACCTGACAACGAGTCTTGTAGGAACGAGCAGGCTGCCTTCAAGGCGGCCACTCTCACACCGATGGTCGGGTCTTCAAGACTCGCCCCAAACATCTGAAACAGCCAGAACCGCCACCGAACAAGTATATGTTAGCACAAGGCACGCACACCAAAGGACGGGAGCGGAGAACCGCACGCGAAAAAGGGGCATGGTCGGAGGTGTTGGGGGATGGGTCAAAGGCAAGCCTCGAGCACTTCCAGCAGCCCAACACGCAAAAAAAATATCGCAGGAAAGTTCTGCCATCGCAAGACACATTTGTTGAGGGGGTAGCTTGGTTGCGTGCGCACCCCACCTTAGAATTTCCGGGAGAATTCACTGCTGCTGTGAGCGTGAGGTTCGTCGTACCATTCTTATGGGCCTCAGTTTCTTCATATCACTTTATGTTTTCGGTCTGACCGGCTGTGTTCCCCCAAGACGAAGTTTTTGCGGAACATTCTGTATTTTTTGTAACCCTAAACCTTCCTTCTTCAATGCTGGCCCGGCCTTCAATTTCATCGCGAGAAGGACTAAGCATCCCTCGCCCTCAAAAAAGAAAAGAGTGATCTCCGACATTTGTCGAATACGTACACGAGAATAAGGGTCGTTTTGGTGGAAGAAAAAACTCAGTTCGCGGCGAGATTCGCCTCCTCACGCCCAAAACGTCCGAGGGCTACAGTATTTTGCGTGCGAGGGTTGCAAAACTTCGCCCCCCGGCCCAGCTGGGTTTGACATACGTGCCCCAGCATCTCTCCCCCACACACCTCGCGTTAGCAACAGCGAATCATCGCTTCCAAGGAGCCCCGTTCCCGACAGATTGTTCCCTCTTTTCTTCGAAAGCCTTTCCTACCTGGGTGCACAAATCTATGTATCTCCACATCTCCACCTAACAAATACCGTGTTCAACAATCCCATAGTGTCGCTCCACGTGTTTAGTTGACCAATGCTGCTACCCTTGTTTCCCTCTTTTCTTCTTCGAAAGGTCTACGTCAGCAGCTTAGAGGAGGCCCCACGGTGGTGCACGCAACGGGGTTGCAAAGCGGTGGGCACATTCCAGCTTGGACGAGGGCTCAACCGGATACCTGGAGCAAGCCGTCCTGGTGGGGAGACATCATTCCCGGGCAGAACTCGGCGAGAATGTTGACCAGATCGAGACCGACGACCTTCATCTCTGGCGATTGCTGCGCTGCGTCGCACAGGGCTACCGTCAACGCCATCAGCTCCGGCCACTGTTTAGTTTTGGTTGTTGTGGGGGGGTTTCGTCATGCCTAACGTTGTGCTTCGTCGTGTTGTTGTTACTGTTGTTTGTTGTTTTCTTGGTTTGTCCGTTCATTGCTGTGGTTGTCGATATGCCGCCAAGACACGAAAGAATCTCGAATCACAGCCCCCACACAAACGTTACCACCGCAAACGACGGTACGATGGTGCATGGGCACGAAAAGGGGGGCGCGCGAAGTGCGGGCTGGGGGCAAGCAGGGGAGTCAACAAAAGCGTCGGCGTGGAAGTATTTTTCTCTTGACTACTGGTAGACGAGTGCATGCCGCCTACGCCACGCAACCACTACCAAAAGCAACAACTTTCCGTCATATTTTCGTCGTCAGTGCGAGGAATTCACCTATGACAACATCAGCCACTCGTAGTAGCGGCGGCGGCCACGTCAAAATAGAATTGGAATTTCCACCGGCATGAGTTGGATGGTACAGTCTTGTACAAAATAGAGTGCTGGCATGCGGCATGCCAACCTAGCACGAGCAGCATGGTTTTTTGTTCCCTTGAAACCTCAGAACCTGCATAAGCACCTGACCGTGCGGTTGTGATGCGCGGTGACAGGTGGATGCGTTGAAGGAAGAGCTCCAAGTGCTAGATTCATACCATACCAATCGATATTCCCCCCTGAGAACAAAAAAAACTCCGACAAAAAAAATGAACAAAAAAAACTCGGAGCAAAAAAGAAAAAAAACGCCTGTGCATGTGGTTAGGTACATTACCTCGCCTGTCGCGGAAGAGATTCCGGCAAGCTGCCCGATAGCGTGGGTCAGCTTTCTCCTGATGTGAGCCACTGGCTCCTTCGTCAAGCGGTCCAGCAGCGTCGCCTTGACTGCAACACCAAAAAGTGGTCATCGAGGGGCGCAACGAGAGGTCATGAGACGGGATATTCCCGCATACCATTCAAGTAAAAGCCGCCACGGGTCATGTCTATGGGGGTTTGCCGACCAGTCTCGCAGGCGTTTTTTCATCAAGGGCAGGGGGGTATACTCTGGTCTTGAGCGCCGTCATTTAGTGTTGCGACCGCACGTCGTGTGTCGAGCCTAGAGCTCCTGGTCGAAAACGAACCGAAAATCGACTTATCTGCAGAACCGAGATAGAGAGCGCTTGAGAGAGCACGAAAGAAACACGGGGCCCAACATATAGGTTTTTCTATTACCACACTAAATCCCATACGAGTAAACGCCTTGCCCAAACTAAATAAAGAGCAATTTGGGGGGGGCAGGACGTCAGAAATCCCGCCAAACGTGCCGTCTTGGAAGTGAACACCGGGTCCATTCACCAGACCTCCCATTCATGCGAGGGCCGACACCAGACCACAACGTAGTCAGCGCTGACTAGTCTAGTGGTATCGATTCCGGCTCTGTATAACTGTAGACCGCCTTCATTACCTCCTGCTTGTGTTTGCTGTTGGACTCGGAACCAGACGTCCGAGCGGATGTCGAAGAGTGTTCGCAGTAGCACCGCCGCCATCGCCCTTAGCCCTTCGCCGCCCTCCCCGCCGTCCGCCTGGCCGAGCACAGCGCACACTTGCTCCAGGACCTGACGAAAGAGAAAATGAAGTGTAATATACAAGGGAATGTCAAGATCAAGTGATCGCAAAGCTCTCGACGAGACTGTTCCAACGCCGCCACCGCCACTGCTGCTATTTGCTGCAGGGCAATCGAGCTCTGAAAATCGTTCCATGAGCCTCTTCTACACCACTTAAAAAACTGCTCTAGACCCTCCCGTTAACTCTGCTGGTGGTAGAAAGCGTAAGTGTCGCGGAGGGGGAGTCCACAGAAGGTGGCATACGGAAGCGGGTGTCGAGACACCCCCCCGAATGCCACGGTTGACTCTCGCTCTCCGACACTTAAGCTTTCTACCAGAGCAGAAATGATCGAGAGGGTCTAGAGCAGAACAAGTACAGTCCACGCTCGTCCCACCGTTCTCGCCGACGCGGTCAGTACAGCCCCCGTTCCGAAACAGCGCTACTGCTTTGAGCAATGTACTGCTGTAGAACAAGCAGGCCGGAATTTGTAACGGCGCGCAAAGGATCGCGAATGATAGATATGGACCCAGATTTTTGGGGGCATTTCGGACCGCGGCTGCAGCGTTCGCCAGCGAGGCAACTGCAACAGATCTGGACGTGTCAATGCGCATGCCGCAGCTCCATGATCTTCTCTACTGCAACATGTGCAAAAGTCAGCACTCCGCGATGTGATGGATCTATTTGAGCACCCGCTTGTATTGCCTTCAATTTAGAGTTACGGGATTATTGTCTTGATTTTAGAGAAGGTGTGTGGAGGTAGACTGCGTGTTACATTCTGGCGAAGAGAAGCCCCAACCGCTGCGACAAAATGATTTCTTCCTGCAGAGGGAACACTGCCCAACTGGTCTTACGACGCTCGTCGGTGACGCCTGGGTGCTCGTCGGTCTTTCTCGAACCCAGTCGAAAAATCGACATCGGTCTTTCACCACACCCATTGACAATACCAACAGGTGACATGGCGTAAGACATCACCCCGAGAAGCCTCACTCCGTGCAAAGGGGATAATCGCACCACGTTGTGTTAAAATTGGTCAAGCACCCTCGAGGCAGATACACGTAGTGCTTGCAACTGTCTCTGGAAGTGAAAGCACCAGAAAATAAATTAAGTTACATGCATACGCAGCGGTCATCCGTACGCAAGGAAGTAAGCACAAGGTGCCCCGCTCATGAAACAACGGTACTTTGTTATACACACACGAAGACCTGAAATTACCTGCTGAAAATACGCACCATCCCATGCGGGTGCCCACATTCACGCACCCGCCGAACCAACTACCCAACACCTTCCTTCTACACCTTCCCAGCATAACATAAAGATAGATACACGAGGCGGCTACCAAACTGTCTTATTGACCCCGTTACCCACGAGGGAGATATCACTGACAGCGTGCTGCTCGGGAAATCGTGGAAAAACAGAACTTCCGCTGACGCTATGGATTCAATGCTAATCTATCTTACTCTTTACTGCAGATAGAGATGGATTCGTTGGGTCATACTGAATATAAACCTCTCATTGCATCGCCGTCTTTAACGCTGTGGCGAATGTGTACATGTAGAAGAGGCTACCTTTCATGCGTACACTGAAATAGTGCTGTACCGCTCGCGACCACCCTGTGAACCTCTTTACTGTGCCGGAGCCTCGTTTATTGATTTCTCTGTGTGATGGATAACCCAACAGCACCGTCTTGCCGTGGGTAACGCCAGATATCACCCCCCCTATTTTCCAAGCTTGATTACAACTCCACGAAGGAAGAGCATGCATACACCAAACGGTACGTTGTGGGAAAGCTCTCGACAGTACAGTTCTATAATAGTACCGCCGCCGTGTTTGGTACTGCAAATGTTTCTTTCTGCTGTGGAGTCCAGGCGGGGGTGGGTGGAGGGTACTCATAGTCGTGCATGCCGTAGTCGTTTGACCGTTGGCCTCGCATCCCTACAATGCCGGGACGGAGCACGCCGGGTTCTCACCGGACCAGGCTCTCAAATCACCAAGCGCGAAGCGCCGTGAGGTATTCGGCGAGTCGCACGAAGGGTGAGCTGCATCCTGCTAAGTTGCACGCAGCGGTGCACACATCCAACGGCACTTTGTGCAGTATATCTAGAGTTAACTAGATAAATGATGTTGCTGATGATTGATGCGGCCGAGTGCTATTTGCGGAATACACCCGGGCACTTGCTCGCCGTTGGCTGGTCTGGTGCTGCTGCATGCACTGCAAGAAGAGGACGACGATCAGGTGTAGTACCACAGAAGACCATGACGAAGAATACCACCCCCCCCCCGTTCGACGACCTTCGGCCGATTTCCCGCAAACACACAACGAAAATTGCTATCTGCACGAGGGATTCTTACGCAGCATCATCACAGCAACAGCAGCAGTGATGCTGTCTCGTGCTAAGCCGCCGGGCCCACACACATACCACACGTACCACCTGAATCTATCGGTCCCGCTCGCCCACGCAACAAGCACGAACACACCTGATCGGGGAGCCGCATTTTCATGTCTTCCCAAGCTTCCTCCGCTCTCCGCCTCACGCCATTGTCCGGGCTCGTGAACGCGCCAAGCAGCTCGCCAATACCCCCCGCCGGAGGACCAGACGCCATTCTTACGAGAAGGGGCCTTTGCAAGCGTCGCGCGTGTGTACCACTAGCAGGTAGCACACGCCCTCTCGTCTGTGGTCAATATGTTCGCTCTCTCTGAAATCTCCAATTTTGAAATTCTTGGCAGCGTACCAGTCCCTGCTACCGGCGTCTGGTGTTATCGTAAGAGAAGGGCGGACTTGTGTGCTTGTGCTCCACTATTTCTCCTACAGATAAGGGTGTGCCCTAGAGGATACGTGAGCAAGACAGCAGTGCACGGTACCACGGCTCCCGGTTTCCCCAGTCGCAGGCACAGGGAAGGAAAACTCAAGGCAGCGTTTGAGGGGGGGGGGGGCACGCGGATGGGTGTCGGACACATAACCGTACGTATACATCAATTCAAATTTCGCGTTTCCGACAACACAGCAAGGATCCATTATTTTAGCTGCTACATGTAGGGATCATGTATACTGTTGTACCTGCCAGCTGCAGTCAGTAGTTAGCGCCCGCACTTGTATATTGCAAGAATGTCTTATTTTGGCCGAGGCTCGTTTGTTGCTGGCAAGTGTAGAGTGAATTTCGCCATCCATCGGGTGTACCGCCGTGACATCGACGATCTTCACAGAAAATGAGCACCCACCTTTTCTTGCTGCCGTATCTTGCCTGGAAAGCCTTTCATTCCAGGCGTCCTTCGTAGTCGTGTCGCCCGTTTTGCATGCACCGCTGTTGCGAGCGTGTTCATTTGTTCACGATTTCCTCCTCTCTTCATGTTGTCGAACCATTGCCGCCTTCAACCCTGCCCCATTGTGGTGACCCCATGCTTGAGGAGGTGGATGCCACCGCCAAAAAAAACCCGGGAGGCTGCTAGCTCGGCATTCACGCGACTGCTGATTCACCGTATCCTCATCGGACGACCACTCTGTTCCTCGCAGCGCTGTGAAGACATGCACTCGTTCCGGAGAGCACAGCCGCATGGCAGCCTTTTCTTCACCCAAACAATGATAGTGTACCTCAACGAAACATGACACCGTTCCAATGACGGGTTTTCGCCCCCCACAATTTCTCCGCCCATCTGGCCATCGACGGCCACAACACCATCATGTGTCTCGACAGCAGGGTGTGGGCACTTCTTGCTCTTTCGCACGAGGTCTTGGTTCACAACGTTCCGTCGCTCGCAGCATGTGTCTACGTGGTACGTAATTCAATTACCGACCTGGCGCTTTCTCATCGAAAGCAAGAGAGCCACGGCATCATTGTAGACGACACCGTGTTACCGGTGTCTTATCATCCTACTGTACGTGTATAAATAGTTGTCGGCGTAAATTTGTCGACTAAAATACCAAGCCACCCAAAACCTGACCTTTACAGAGCAGGGAAGGGAGGGCTCTACTCACACAATTACTCGTTAACTCTAGAATCTGTGATACATTCACCTCACCCTCGCTGAAAGCAGAACGAACACGGCTAACTACCGCACCTACGTACCTACCGGGCAGGGCGCCACAAAATAAACTCAAGGGGGGGGGGGGCTCCATTGGTAATACTCTATCTACTTGGGATCACTACAGCACTACTACTACAATAGCGTCAGCAAGACGCCCGTGTTGCATCTTTCAAACCATCGGCACCTACTAGTACATCGGGAATTCACGGTCTACCGTCCTCGCCCACTCCGTGAGACCCCCCGAAACATCCATCACGTTAGGAAAACCCTTCTTGGCGAGGATCGACACGGCGGCCTTGGAATCGACTCCCCTGCGGCAGATGCAGTACACTGGCAGAGAACGACTTTCACTGAGCGTTTCCACTTTCTCCATGGACGCCTGCGTTAACATTTTGAACATGTGAGCGAAAACACGCAAGGGGGGGGGTGTATTCATGTTTTGCATGCCTTAGTCGTTAGAGCATTAACCACGCGTCTTCGAGTAGAGTAGTATTTCAGGCCGCTGCCCACCCACCCTGCTGTCGATCGGCCATATTCTATCGAGATTCGACCGAACGAGGTTTCAAGTGGAAGAGGCGAGGCAGGTGCTTACACCGGTATCGGAATGATATGATTGGTCCTGAGCTGGACCGAGCGACAAGCAGCATGGTCTCTCGTCATCCAGCCCAAGGAGACAAGGCGCAAGACAAGAAATTTCCTGCAGAACACGATGTTTTTCCTGTCGAAATTTCATGTTTCCTGGCCCCTCTCTGCCACACCTCTGTCCCTCTGCTGTTCCTCTGAGCCCTCCTGCATGCCATTCAATCAAAGCCTTCTTTGCTGCTGCGAGTAGAGTTCAAGTTCCCGTGTACGCGCAACAGTACATGGAGATGACTGATTCCTGTCACATTCAGTACAGTAGAGGTCCCTGTTTAGAGCCGGTGTCCGGCATAATGCCCATGTTTTCGACCGGTACGCTCTGAATTTCCAAGTCATTCTCAATACCTTGAATAGTGCCGGTCCGGAATAGTGCCGCTGTATTTTCTGGGCGCATACCGGCACTAAAAAGCGACCTCTACTGTACATCTGAAAAGGAAAGTTCCACACAAGAAAGTCTTGCGTGTTCCCTGTCCATTTTATTTTTCTCATTCCCAGACCACACGTCGCACCTCTAGCTGCGACAGCGGCAAGTTGACAGCGTCGTCCAAGGCGCACACCGCGAACTGCACCCCGACGCGCACGTCAAGCAGGACATGCCTCCGCCCGCCGGCCACAACGTCCGCGTATTCCTGAAAGGGGGCACAGGAGACGAAGAGCCAGGGGCGTGGGAAACGGGGTCGAGATGGACCTTGAACTAAGATTTGGAGTTTTGCGCACCCTCTGGGTGACGCTGTCTTCAAGTGTTGGGAAAAAAAACGGCCACGTATTCGGGAGAGTGCCCCAGTTCAAGGATGGGTCTATTGCTAGTCAGCAGCAACGTGGCGGAAGGTTCAGGAGAGTCGACGACGGCAAGGCTGACCGATCGGCCATTCAGTCGGACAACGAAACGAGTACTGTAGCACGCCTGTTGCTGTGTGTGTCTTCGCAGTCATAGTGGCACGCGCGGTAAATGCTCCCGGCCATCCCCACTGCCAAGGTTCGTTGCAAATGCGGTAAACTTAGGGGGGGAAGCATTCTACGGTACATGCCCACGAGCCCACGAGCGTTGGGGGTGTAGGTTCCGGGGACGAACCTACTGGCGCGGAAAAGAGTTGGTAGAAGACGAAGAAAAGAGGTAGCAGAAGACGCAAAGAGGCAGCAGAAGAAAAAGAAGACGAAGAAGAAAAAATGTTCGGCACCGTGCATACGAGAGCTGCAGCGGACGTTTTCCTACGAGCGTACTCTGACGCACCTGGCAGGTAGCGGTGGGCACCCGCTCCATCTCTGGCACGACCCTCGCCACCGTCAGGCCGTGCTTGGCGGCGAAGGCCTTGCTTCCCTCCATGCTCAGTACGGTGGGGTTGTCCCCGCAGGCCGCACACGTCTTGGACCTGAAAAAGGCAAGACGATAAAGATAAGCACGTGGTTGGAGAAGAGGGAGAAAGAGAGAGAGGGGGGGGGGGAGATCGAGCACGGTGTAGAGGCCAGCGGATCAGACAAGACTCCTGCATATTTGAGCAAAACAATCCGAGCCTGTCTTGGTATACTTGAACGAACAGCTACGATATTTTATCTACGTGGGACAAGAACAATGATGTACATCCGCACAGCAGGACCCCTGATTGTGGAGAAAAATAGCCCCCCTGTCATCCCGGCCCGACAGAATGCCGAAGATGACGAACCAAAATCAGGGAACGCGGGGGGAAGGAGAAGGTGCAGCTTGAACACAGTACGGCAGAGCAACCAATACCCCTTCCCTCGCGCCTGTCGGTGTGTGTGTTTTCTGAATTACATGTAGCATCGACCGCGCTAACCGGCTGACCAATGAAAATATATCAGTCTCGTAGCGGGATGAAAAACGCGAACACGCTCAAGTCAAAAGGGTTTGCGTAGTGGTGTGTGTGCGTGCGTCACCGCCCATCTTTCCTAGAGTATGGCGGCGGCATAGCCTTGCTTGTCCGAAACGAAACACTGTCGGCAGAAATAAAACGACAAGTCTCGGTGAGCAAGGAGAACGTGTGTTCTCGAGTGCCGACGCACAACTTCTTCGCCTTTTGTTAACCCACGGAGGCTTTCTTGCTCAGCAGCAGCCGACATACCTCGGGCGCAAGCGCACTGTGTAGAACGACCCGTCCTGTCCATCATACGTGCAAAGCCTGCCCACCAGGGGAGAGCCGAACTCTCCCAGCACCTTCAGCGCTTCCGTGGCTTGCAGGCAACCGATCACGCCTGGCATGTTGGTGGTGGTGGTGTCAGGGAGGAGTGGAGGTGGCAGTGAGGCGTGGGGGGGGCAGAAACGACACCGCCGTCAGTGACGCTGCTCGCAACAGCGAACACTGCCGCGGCGGCGTCTGGCGATGGCAACAAAAACAGCCGCAACAGTGACCCCGAAGACAGCCATCAAAAACGCCGTCACACATACCACAGGCAACGCGAAATGCACCGTTCGATTATGTTGCACTCGTTGTACCTCCTCTCTTTTCCGTGAGAAAATTCTGCGACCCGATCCCCTCCCCTTCCCTTTGGACAACGGGTACCCCCATGTGGAACGAACTGTCTACCCCCGCCGTACTCTTTTCTTTCTCTCTACCCTACCTGTTTCTCTCTCTGCTCTCCGCTTCCCTCTCTCTCTTTCTCTCCCTCTCCCTCTCCCTCTCTGTTTGTGTGTCCAAGAACCTGTGTCTCCGTGTCTTGTCTGTCTGTCTGTCTGTATATCTGTCTCTCCCTCTGTCCTCTCTCTGGGTCTGATTGTCAATACCTCACCGGGAACGGTTCCCAGGACGCCGTTGTCGCTGCACCTGCGGCCCGCCTCCGCCGCCAGCGGCGCGGGAAAGACGCAGCGGTAGCAAGGCCCCCCACGGTGGTGGAAAACCGATACCTGCCCCTCCATCCCGAGTGCGCTCCCTGACACCTTCAATACGCCACGATGTTAAATTCGAGTCGCGAGAGAGGGGGCAGTTAGGCGTGCATACAGATAACTACTAGCGAGGCTGTTTATGGCCAACTGACTGTCTGGGGAGGCAGTGAATGGCCACCTGGCTGAAGTTGAGGAGGCTAGGGGCAGTACAAACCGCCTGCGCTATTGCCCTCGAGCGTGGGGCCGGAGGGGAGCTATATTATTTCGCGGCGGTAGTTATCTCTGCCTTCGAGCGCCGCGATCGCACACGCGACGACTCTTGACTATAGCTTCACCAAGGTGTCAAGTGTGTACGGTGTACTCTACTTCCATTTCTATCAAGGTTCCATCGCCTCGTCACGGGTAGGGAAACCCAAGGGTTGTGGTGCACACGATTGAGTCCCAACGGCTGCAAACGACCAAAATTCATTCTCCAGAAGACGGCACCGCATGCAGCAACACCGGCAACACAAATGTTGACCACAGAACAAAAACAAAATGCGACAACCTACCAAGGGTGTCCCAGAGAGCACGCAGGCGTCGTTGACGAGATACCGGGTGCGGGGGTTGTCGCTGGCATCAACGACGAGATCGACGCCGGCCAAGGTGTCCATGGCATTGTCGTGGGTTAACGCCTCCTCAATGGCAGTGCACCTACCGCCGCCGCAATCGCGAGCAACGATACGGTAACAAAAGTTGTAACATAAGATCGCCACGAGCACAGTAAGGCAGGACGATTTGGATGCCGCCGCACTCGTTCTGCAGAACACATCTGCCCTTGTTTGCTTTCTTCATGGTGAACAGTGCTAGGCTCGGAACGACCACGGAGAAGCTTATTTTAGATCGGGCTCGGCGCTCGGCAGAGAAGAGGGCGGGAGTGTGGGCCGTTGTCAAGCTTTCGACAAATACAAAAAATGAAACCATGATGCAAGAGCACACGTCCAGTTGACGCTAAAGAGAGGGGGATTATTTTGACCGATCGTGGTTGCACAAACCTTGACCTACCTCGCCATTGTCGCTGTCGTTGCTGCTGTCCCTGGCGGTGATGTCTTCACAAAAAGACACGTTCCAACCGCTACAGTACCAAGTACGGCCGCATTATGTTTCCAATCCAGCCATTCAAAAACTTATCCCCGTAGGTTCGTGATACCCTACCCTAATCAATCCAAAAACAACGACAGAGGAAGACGGACCTGATGCTGGAGTTGATATCCCGGACGGTCGCAGCTGCACACTTGGCCTTGCTCTGGCCGGCTTGCCCCTCCCGGTACAAGACTTGCCTGTGAAGGTTGCTGGTTTCGATCTGGAGTATTGGGGGGGGGGACGGGGTGAACTCCTGTCTCTGCGTATTCATGCGTGCGGATATCGCGCTTTAGCTCGGGACCTCTCGGAAGAGAATGAACAGTTTCAGCGTGCGCCACGTGGGTGTTGGATCTTCGACGTAGGCTGGCTGATAGCCGACGGACAATCGACGGAGATCTACGTGAGCATATACACCAGATAGAATGGCTCCCTTGCCGCCTCTGCTTGCGTCCATACCCGCAATGCTATCCAAGTCGCCTCGATTTTCTGCTGCTGTGTTACTGTTTTCTCTCGTGGCGATCTTGCCGTTGCAGCCGCAAAACAGGCGAGGTTCAAATCGCGCACTCCTTGGACCCGTTGACGAGTAGTCGTTGCGTTCGGCATCACAGATGTCTTGTCAGAGGACTCAGGCATGGGTCGATGACGCTAGACGTGACCGCACCCGTCGAAGCCTATAACTTCGATGTAGTTGGTTTCCCTTACCAATCTCGTCGTCTTCGATGTGAAGGCTTGCCGAACTTTCCGAACTCGATACCTGCGGCGTGGTGATGTTCACCCCAAATATTCCAGTCAAATGAAACATTTAGCAACATATTACCTTGTCGAAGTCGATGATTTTGATGTGGCCCACTCCTGCTCCGGCTAGATACGGCAGCACAGCTGACGCGAGCCCCCCAGCTCCGATCACTAGGCACGTCTTGTCCAGCAGGTTCCTGCCCGAGGGCGGACCAGCACAACCACAATGGTTGATTTCGAGTCAACATTTTTTTCACAACACACAAGAGTTGTTTCGGGCTCATGTGTTCACTGTGAGCAGATAACTCTCTCTTGGCTTTTCAGGTTGGAGGGAATGAAGGTTTGTACTTTATGTCGCCGCAGACACCGACAGAGATGTGAATAATTAAAGCCTGCCTACCTGGCATGACTGAGGAGATACAATGCTTGGGGCAAACTGTTTTGCCATAAATATTCGGCGTTACACCAAGCAAGGAAGGTTGATATTGTGTGGTTGACGTCATTGGCCAATGAACCACGGGGTGGACCAACAGAACCAAGAGACAACCATAGCTGATATAACACAACAATACTTCAATCTGCGATGAAAATGTAGGAAACCATTTGAAGCCAACTGTCATGGCACACTTCCATTATCATGTCTCGAATTTTTTTACCTGTGCACCACACAAATAATGACGTGATTCCTTGGCAGCGGAAATAATCCATACCGAATGTTCGTGTGCCATGACGATAAATTTCATCTACTATTCGGTGCCCGCGGCAGCCGAAGGGATTTTGCTTCCGGCCTTGGAGGTGGAATTTGGCGGCACGAACTAACTTAACGCCTTTTTGATGAGAGGACACGAAACAACGGCACAGAGCCTAGACAAAGCCAAACCGCAGGCTTACGGTACAGCAGCAGCAATTCCCACTTCTTTCCCCTCAGATGCAGCTCGTCCCTCAAAAGAGAGCGGTAATCATATCATGATCTATGTGCGATAGCGGCAACAATAACCCCAGGAATGGGGTCAGCCAATGGCAGAACATTTCTCGTCGCCCTCCTGCCCCTCCCCAACCGGGAGTTTTCTCCCCGTACCTTTGCCCCTCCACCCCTATGGCGGGCACGAGCAGGTGCCGCGAGTATCGCGCGATCTCGGCGGCTGTCATGCCCGCCTTTCCCAGAGATTCTCGAGATATCTCTTCGCCGACGCCATTCTTGTTGCTGCTGCAGCAGCTGGTGCTGCCGACGCTGCTGCTGCTCTCGACGTGCGTGGTATTCGGTTGCACGGCGGAACCTGAGGGTTGTACAGGTAGTGGTCCCGCCGCTGCTTCAAGGGCCGCTATTCTCGCGCGAAGGGCCTCGTTCTCTGCCTTGAGGTTTGCCACTGCTAACAGCTGCTGCTCCGGCTGCTATCGCGGTTTTGTAGTCGTTGTGTTATTTTCCCGAAAGCGGCAGGAAAAGGAAGGCAACGCGGATGGGTCGTTTCGCGATGGGCGATGGGAGGGGGAGACGAAGAACGACGAGAGAACCTATACGTGCTGTGTACGGTATTATCTCGAACGGGCAATTTTTCAGCGATTGTAGGCACTAAGAAAAGGGACGCAACAACAGCACTCTTCGTGGTCTTGTCTGCTTAGCACACAGCAGTGTATGTATGCATATGCCCCAAGAACAGGGAAGCAACAGCAGCCACCCGTGGTCATTTTCGGCAGAACCAGGTATCTACGGCTGTCGACTACACTCTACATGCAGATCATTTCGGCTGCGTTCAGCGATAGCCGGCCTCGACTATTGTAGCATGTGAAGTTAGCGCACGCCGGACTGGGCACAGGGAGGAAGGAACCCATGTTTGCCGCAGTTTTTTTTTTTCACTCCCGAAGGTGTGTTTTCCTTTCTTCTCGCTGCTGGGAACGGTTGTACTTTCGGCGGAGGCCGCTGGCTTTAAAACCGAACAATGAACTTGTGTCTGATGTGTTCGGTGCGCGCAACGCCAGTCGTTGTGCGCTCTGGACTCGATGAGAATCGCGTGGGATGAACCCTTGCTTGGAGATTTGCAACGTGCGAGCCTCAGAGACACGCTTAACCCGCGACACGCGCCACCAAGCTGCCTGCATGCCCGCACCTCTACTGTACATATGCGTCGGGATTCTGGTCCGATATTTTTTCTGGTAGAAGTCCAGCACACACAAGAGCGAGAGAAAGAGGGAGCGGCGCCGACACTCACGTTCGGCCTCTCAGGCTCCGACCCTGAAGAACCTGAGGCCATACTTCTACTGAATGGCGTCACTCCGCCACTGGAGGAAGAAGCAGAAAGCAAGAGAGGCAGCGCTTGGTTGTGCGGTGTGCTACCAAACTTCCACTTCGCCTTTTACCGCGCAGGGGAGGGATGTCCCGAGCAGCAAGTTAAGCCGCAAGGAGAACCAACTTAGAACCAAATAGGTCGGCCGGTGTGCCGGTGTTAACTGGCTGGCTGGTGCGCTGTGCGCTGGGTCTAGGTGGGGAGTGGGAAGAGGCAAGGCAAGAGAGCGAGTGTTCCAACACTTGTCCGGGGGAAAGCATGAGTGATGCTGGAAGTCGTGTTGGCATGGACACACCCAGTACCCTACCGCGGGGACTTGACGTCGAGAGCTTCGCGAAGGTGAGTAGAGCATGTAGCCTCACCACGATTGTACTGGAAACATCGACACTTGCTTCCTTAGGCTCTGCCAACAGGCTTTGCTAGAGTAGCAGACACCCGCTCCACCAAACCCGGTTGCTGCTGTATTGGTAGCTCGCCAAAGCAGCCTGGTGGGTGGACTGCTATTGTACACTATGACTGGGTTGACTGAGACGTGATGCTGTTACAACATCATAGTATGCACTGCTGTAGTCCGCCCCCTCCACCTGGATCAATTGAAAGTGGCGAGTCGTATGCATACACCTTAACACCTTCGTCATGGGGCAAACGCACATGTTCTGCAGCGACAGCACACTGCAGTCCGTTCTTGTCGCGCTCGTACAAATCAACCCCAGCGCTTCCCAAGGACCTGGATGTGTAATGCTCAAACATTCGGAGCTAACCAGCTCCCCGCCCAAACCGGATAGACTAGCCATATCCCCGCATCACACAACTACCGCGCGGGAACCCTGTGTAGTAGGCACTGTAGGTGACACCCTCTAGTCCTCTTGTAGCGATTTCTGTCTCTGAAGCGTGGTGCGCATCCCACCATGGTCGAGCCCTTCCTTGACGTTTCTGCCGGTTGGGCTGCACGAGTAGACGATACAACAGTGTTTGATCATATGCATACCTGCGCGCGGGTGTGGGTACGTACCGTCGTGTCCCCTCCCTCCCTCCCTCCCTCCCAGGCCACCCAAAAACGCAGGGATTTCTGCGGCGGCCTTAAACCGAGCACGTCGTTTACTTCTCTCCATACGTGTCTGAGTACTAGCCCGCCTCCTCCGACTTAACGCACAGGCGCGCATCCAGGAGCTCGAGTTTTTAGATGCAGCCGTTGCCGCGGTCTCTGTAGAGGGTAGCGGTGCCAGTACCAGCCGCTTGAGGGACGTTGGCGGGACGACACCGCCATCGGCACCAGCAGGCGGGCTGCACGATCAGGTGCGTGCTTAGTCTCGACGGTACCGCTGTAACTGGCACGGGCCGGGGGCGAGTACAAGTGGGGGGCGCGGGGGGTTTATTGAGGTACTTTGCGGTGGGGTCGGAGATTGTCGCCGGTGTCGTGCTTGGGAGGTCGGGAGCCTTGGGGTTGTGGGTTTGGTCTGCTGATACACGCGTGACCAGACACCCTGATGATAGCGTCTACCTTTGGACTGGCTTGGAGGAGGGGGAGGAGCGGGGGGGGGGCAAGTGACCCGTCGTGCCACTGCCGTCAGAATCGTGTAATTCCGCAGCAGGATCTTCGCGGGCGCTTGTAGGAGGGGGTCAGCGTGGTGAAGGATGCCGTCTCTTTGAAACGGCCGGATGGTAAACAAGGTTCTGAGCGGAGCCGCAGTATCGGCCTGCCTCATCCTGATGTGGACTCAACTCAACCCCATCCCCTTCTTCCTTTACACCCACCCTCCTTCGGGTTGCGAACCACGCGCGAACCTCACTCTTACCAGTCGCAGGCATTACCGAGACACATGCGAAGGCGGACGACCTCGCACACGCCGCGCCGCATGCCCGTAGCACTCAAGAACAGCGGTAGAGCCGCCCCTAACAATGGCCGCAGCAGTAGCAGCAGCAACAAGAACAAGCACTCTGGCAGGCGACACGGCGCGGGAGCGAAGTCTAGCCGTTCCAAAGGAGATGAGAGTGGGGCGGCGGTTGATATGGACGTAGATGCCCAGAGGTGCAGGAAGCATCGCAGGAGACCGAGGGCTCTACTAGAGATGCACAGTCCCCACGCCGTACGGGACGAGGAGAGCGGGGGCGAGGACGAGGCGGGAAAGGGTCGTAAACCGAGGTAGGTCCGTCTCGTCCCTGGATGACCCCACCCTCGATGCTGTACTCAACATCGTTGTTTGTGTGCCGGCGGGCGTCATGTGCCGAGTGTAGCCCGCGGAAAAGGGTACCAAACTAGCGCTGTAACTTGTAAGGCAAGTGATCGAAAAAGGCCACGGGGGTAAGAGCAGTAGACTTGAAGTGTCTCTCGTTGGAGCTCGACTGCTGTGTCGTCGTTTTCAGCGGGCGGTGACTGGGGCAGCGGGCGCAGAGGCGCACGCTCGTGGAGAGGGAGAGCGAGGTTCTGTGTGGGTGTTTCTTTTGTTGAGTCGACGCTGCTATCTGGCTGACAAGTGCAAGACATCAGTCTTAGAGGTGTGTGTGTGTGTTTCATGGGAGGGATAGGAAGAGCGAACGTAGTACTTCCTTGGTCAGAGTTGGAATTCCTCGTTCGTAACGTTATTATGGGGTGGCTGTAGCGTATAAGTACAACACAAGATAACATATCCCCTGTCAACAGCAGGAAAAGTCGCAGCTCCGAAAACGGTGGCATTGAAGCAGCCTGGTCGAGAGCTCTCCTACAAATATCATTTCGTGTTAGCATCCGGTTCGTCGTGGAGTAATCCAGCTGTGAAAATCGGTCCGGGGGGTATGTTATATTGTGTCATATACGGGTAGTCTACACAGATGCCCCCACGCGCCTCCTGGGTGTTCGATTTCTACTTCTTTTCTCGTCTGCATTCCACCCCCGCCCGAATTTTTGCTCTCGCGAGGAAGAGAGTGCCCTAGGAGAAATTTCTGCGGCAAGGTTCTTCTGGCTTGATTGTATGCACCACCTTCTTCCGAAACGGAGGGCCGTCCAGCACTCTCTTCCGCGTCTCACCATTCGCGCCTTTCGGTGCTTGGGGACTTTTTGCATGCCTTAGGTGGCTGGAGACCCACATCTGGCACGCGAAGAGGATGCACATGAAGCATGCCTGGGGCTTCGTGCTTCCTGCCGAGAGCAACAGGTGCGATCGCTCGCGCCCGGCCTCTTGTCTCTTCTGTCTTTGTCTTTGTCGTCGTTGTTGATGCCGCTGCGTTGTGAGAGAGGCTCAGTGACAGCTACCGCAGTATTAAAAGAAACGTGACCGTAGGTAACTAATTTCCGTTTACACCGGCCGGATACGTACGTGAAACCAAGTCCTCTCACTGGTGTATTTTCATTTCGCAGCACCGGACAAAAAATCCAAGCACTGCTGTATCCACACGACTTTGTTCCTCGCAATAACCCGTCACCATACACACTCGTGCGTTTAAGTACCAAGATTCCGTTATTGCGTATTCAAGAATGGCTCGGTGGGTGTTCTCTGGCACGCTGAGACAACACACAAAGCGGGGCGATGCACACCGTAATGACCCTGCAACACGTGCGGTTGGTGTACTAGCTTCTTGTGAGGGTGCGGTTACTTCTTTTGCAAGCATCGGCGCCCTCTGACATGTGCAAACAAGGTAGTCTCGACGGCCGAGCCGAACTCGCGCGCGCCCGCTTGTGCATGTGCGTGCACGTCACTTCCGTCTAATCGCAGGGGCCCACGGGCGGCGGTCGAAGCCGCCCTCAAGCATTGCACCCTTCAGGACCTGACCTTCATGCGCCCGCTAGAGCTGCGGGGGCCCCGGTGGTGCATCCTAGGGGCTCTTTCCGCAGTCACGGACCCCCTGGACTCGAGACCGAAGCAACAGAGCTGCGTCGACGGCTTTGTCGAGGCCCATACGCATCTCTACAGGTATCTATGGGTGTTTTCCTTGCCTTGGTACTACGGCCCTTGCGAACATGGGGGCGATCAGAGAAACCTAAAACTATTACACGAGTTTGTTTGGTTTCGTGCGGGCGTGGGTGGGTCGACGGTGGGCGCGTTTTCTTATATTCCGTTCGCGTCGATTGAACGCTATAATTCGACGACGATGATGTGTACATCAGTCTTGCAAACGTGCAGCGTGTGTGTGTATTTTTGCTTCAACCGCTCCAGAAGGCCGACCAGTAGAAAGGCGTCAGTACCAGTGGGTATGGATAAATCAAGGCCTCCGGACGAGGACCCAAGTTCGAAAAAGGGGCGTCTCCGATAGTGTCCAAACGATACTCACTACAAACCCATTTTAGGGCAAATGGCACCGTCCGTGGCTGCCCGCGCACTGTTCGCCCAAACCTAACAAGCGGTTGATGCACAGAGAGCGGAGGACCCCGGAAGGGCTATTTGAAGCCTAGCAGAACATGCCAGGGTACCGGTGCGTGCTGTTTCTCCTACGCTGAAAACCGTACATTCACAAGATCCAGCAATACTGGCCAGCTGAGAGCGCAAGAACGGTTTATTGTAGTCTGCATCGTATGCTCACGCCGCACGTTAGCGGTATCTATGTTAGGATTGAGGCTGGTGCTTCGTGCGCCTCTTCGCTTGATTAACTCGGTAGCGTCGTCGCGAACGGCTGGCGAGCACCGACACCTGACTTAGGTACGTCCATCACCATCGCCACCACCACCACCACCACCACCACCACCACCACCGACGCTATCTACTATTCCTCTCGTCGTGCTTATTCTTCACCCCTCCTCGTAACCGTCTCAACCCCGCCCAGAACGAACGAGTTCCCGCTCGGTTGTGTCGCGCCCGTCACGGTCTTGTGGGCCCCATCCGACTCCGCCGCCACCGCCAATGACGAAGACGCCAGAACAAACGACCGCGACACCGACGGCAAGAATGGCACGTCGGCACCCGAAGCAGGTGGCGACGGCGGCGGCGGCGGCGGCGGGCGAGCTACAGAGGGGAGAGAGGAGGGGGGTACGGGGGGGACGCCGGATGGGCTGGAAGAACGACAAGAAGATGTTCGTCGCGTGTGGGTGTGGGTGCACCCTGCGGCGGCGAAGGAAGCTCTACGGGAGATTAGGAAGGCGTGTGATCTAGAGGGGTCGCCTTGGCAGGGTTGTGTGCAGGTAGGTGCTGCACCCCTTACCATGGTGTAATTTTGAACGAAGCTATCGACTATTTCATTCTTTTTCCTGACTCAAATAAAGCAAAAACGTCGAAAAAATGGCGGGACCTATTTTGCCACTTTTTTCTTTTCGGAGAATGGGCGTCCCGCTCGAGAACGCTGCCGTGCTGACTACGTTCCACTGGGAGGCGATTTCGGGTGGTCAATAATATCAAGAGCCACTACGATCTCACTGCTGTTTTCGACGAACATATAAACGATGATGGATTTAGTCTTTGTCCAAGCCCCAACCAGCTTCCTGACACCGTTTTTTTTTTCTTCTTTTTTTTTTTCTTCGATTTCTCAAGGCGGGACCCGTGCCGGGTGGACTTTGCCGGCTGCGAGTCAGGGGTGCCCGATCGCACGAAACCGTGCAGCGGGTGCTACAAACAGCGGCGGCAACAGCGGCACTAGCACCCGCAGCAGGCGACGACTATGAAGGCGCCGCTCGGGAGAACGCTGGCCACTGGCGAGCGCTAGGTGCCTCTCCGGCGAAGAGCGACGGCAGGGGAAACAACAACAACAACAACGGCGTCCCACGGGAAATTCCGTCGGGGTCCGTGCTGGCGATCACCGCTCTCGATCCGCGCCAGCAACCCAAGAACGGCAGCGTCAGAAGCAGTTGCCAGGGCCCTGAATCTGGTAGATCTAGAGACTCCGTCGCGTCCAGCAGCAGTGGCCAGGGCCCTGATTCGGCCGGGTCTAGAGACTCAAAGGGTGCGGCTTCGGCGGCAGCGGCGGCAGCGGCGGCGGCGGCGGCGGCGGCGGCGGCGGCGGCGGCGGAGCAATGGCCTCCGCGGTTAGCGGCGGTCTCCCCCCTCTGGGACCCCGACGCCCGAGCCCTCGCCGCCCCTCGCCCGGACCACGTCATCAACGAGCACCGGCGCCGGGAACGGGCGCGGGAATCGTGGCATGGCGAAAAATCTACCGCCGCTGGGAAGGACACCGGACCCCCGGGGGAGGAATGCGTCGGCCGGAGCGGCGGCACCCCCGTGATCCTCGTGTCCGCTTCCGGGGTTCCGACGACGGCACACGGGCAGCCGGCGGCGCCGACGACAAGGGCGAGTCTGTTCAGCGGAGACAGGGGGAGCGGCGGCGGCGGCAGCGGCGGTGGGAAGGAGGCAGAGAGGAAGCGGCAGGCCCTCGCGGCCGGGTGGGACATCGTGCTGTCTCCAGGATGGGCACCGGTGTTCTTCGGCGCGCTGGTCATGGCCGGTGCTAGGGCCATCTCCCTCGAGGGTGCGGACGGCCTGATGCTTGAGGCCGGCGAGCCGCGGTGAGTGAGCTAGCTGCGTTGCTCGCGGGATGTGGTGGGACGTTGATATGCGTCGGTTCCTCCGCTCCTGGGATTGTCGGTGTTAGACCGAGGGGGACTACGAATTCGTTCGTCTGGTGTTTATTCAGGTTTCCTTTGATTTGCCGCAGCACTGTTTGTACCCTGTTTTTGTTAGACGGCCGTGTCTTGGGGCATGCGATTTTTGGTGTCCTGTGCTCACTTGTGGCGGTTCATGATCCTTATTGTTTCGTCTTCCGTACCGGTCTTGGTCGTGGAAAGACCGCGGACTGTCTTTTCGATATTCACGAGACTAGCTTTAACATGTAGGGCCTTTCACCACAGTATTGGGAGGTGCCTGTACTGTGTGCCAAACCGACCGGAGACCTATCGCTGGAAGGACCTGTGGCTAATGGTAAGCTGACATAGAGGCCCACGGAAAACACCCCTCTCACCACCGCCAATCGCCACAACCACCATCCATACCCCCCCCCCCCCACGCATATCCCCGCCCCCCGGTGTTTGCCATCGGCGTTGGTTTTTCGTTGCTTGGCAACGACGTTGTAAAACAAGCCCCCCCCTCGGTGTTTGCCATCGGGATTGGTTTTTCGTCGCTTGGCAACGACGTTGTAAAACAAGCCAATTCACTTCGTGAACTCGGCAACCAGGTTACCGTTTTTTTTTGCACCTCTGTTTTTTTTTTTGCGGTAACCGTAATGGTGGTCGAGTGGATCATGTTGTGCGGGGTGGAGAACCCTCACTCCGCGCAAGGGGGAAACTCCCACCACGTTGTGTTAAAATGGTCAAGCACCCTCGAGGCAGTTACATAGTGCTTATAACTGTCTCTGCAAGTGAAAGCACTAGAAAATAAATTAAGTCATACGCAGCTGTCATCCGTACGCAAGGAAGTAAGCACAAGATGCCGAACACCCTTAGCAGGATGCAGCGCACCCTTCATGCGACTCGCCGAATACCTCACGGTGCTTCGCGCTTGGTGATGTGAGAGCCTGGTCCGGTGAGGACCCGGCGTGCTCCGTCCCGGCTTTGTAGGGATGCGAGGTCAATGGTCTAACGACTACGGCATGCACGACTATCAGTACACCCCCCCCCCCCACCCCCCCAAGCTAATACACGCAATAACCTCCTGCTTCGGCCCCTGCATGTTGCGCGTCGTGCCCTCCCCAACAGCTTTCCGGCAGACTTCCCGGGCACGGCATCAGGCCGCCGCCACTGGGACGACGTCGGGCGGCAGGCGGAAGAGGCGTGGAAGAGAGCCCGTCCGAAACACAGAGGCTTCAAGCGGCCCGCTCTTCCCCCTCCTCCTGAGGCTCCATCACTACCGCCGCCGCAGTCGGAGCGTGGGAAAGGCGTCACTGCTACCGCTGGGGACCGGAGCGGGGCAACGGCGGGGTCAGAAGAGATGGCAGAGAAGGCTGCGGGAGAGGAAGGACACCAGCGGCGGCAGAATCTCGCCCCGAAGCCATCCTCGTTGCCGTTGCGGTGGTTCCGACCGGACTTCCGCTCCCTCGCGGGAGCTGGGGGCACTCCTTCCACCGGGGCAGAGTCGACCGACAGAAACGGTGACGTCGGCGACGGGGACGGCTCAGCGGCCGCCGACGCCTCCGTCGTCGCCTGGAGACCCCAAGAGGAGCGCGAGGCTTACGCGGTGGCGCGAGGGTTTCAGTATGTACGGGCGTTTTTGCCCGACGTCGAAGAGGAGCACCGAGAAACCGACGTCTGCGACGAGGATGATGATGGCGACGGAGGGAACCGATTGTCGATGGATTTCCCGCCGCCGCCGCCGCCGCCGCCGCCGCCGCCGCCGCCGCCACCGCTTCAGCTCGCGCTCCCGACGGTCCTGGAACTTGTGGTGAGGAAAGGGAACTGTGGTTCGACGGAAGTAGTACGCATCTCAGTCCTTGGCCCTTTGCTTGTCGTCTGTTGGAAATATTGTGTTTTTTCTGCCGGTGCTTGTATTGGTGCTGATAACTGGTCCCTGGCTCTGGAGGTGCTCATGGTCAACGGTCAAGCAATGGAGCAAAACATTGAAGTACGCCCCCCTTGCTTACTCTTGTGGCCATCGGTGATCGGTCCTGTGGGAACAACGCTCCGTCCTCTCGAGGCCGGGGGGTCAATGGTCGAACAACTCAGGCATACAAAACATGAGCATGCCTTCCCCGACCTCTAGGACGTGTGGTCAATGATCCAAAAACCAATGCATGAAACCCCCTCCACCCTTTTTACTCTTGAACCTCTTCGAATATACAGATTGTACTGGACAAAGGCGTTCCCAAGGCGGGCGCGCCGCTCCACGCCGCTTCGCCCAAGCACCACGCCCTGTGGATGCAGGGCAGGCGGAACGGGAAGCCGTGGCCAGGCCTCTCTGCCAAGGACGCGCTTCTCGCCGCCGTCGGATCACCCTGCGGTGACTTATCAGCAACGGCGGCGATAGGCGCGGTCACCTCGGGAGGGGTTTCGTATCTCCGAGGCGTTGGAGTGGGGAGGGGGGTTTGTGAAGCGGTCACTGTCCGCGACGCCCTCTTGGCGTCCCTTTTTAGTTGTCGGCAGCAACGGGGAAGTGGCGGCGGGGGCGGGGGGGGTACGCGGCAGTGGGGGCAGCAGCGGCGGGTGTGGGCGTTAGTTCTTGTCGGGAATGAGGCCGGTGACTGGTTTAGGCCTGCCGTAGCTTTTGTGGCCGGCACATAAGTCAACCGGCGTTTGCTTCTGCATTTACGTGTTCTCCCGGGAATGAATGTTTGCTGCTCCTGCATAACAATGTGCTGTTTGTTCCAGCAGAACCGTCTGTGCTACGGGGAATCGTGAGTCTTACCACAGCGGATACATATGCGCTTGGCTGGTTGTCGTGTGTAGGTTTCCGTCGTGTTCCTTCCCCGTGTTCGTTTTTTTGTCGGCAAGCCGTTCACCCACCCTTTTTCTGCGGGAAAGGCCGGGGGGTCTCAGCTCGTGTAAGTCTTGCAAGCAACCGCCCGTTTTCGCCGAGACGCTCTGCGTGTGTTCACTCTGTTTCGTCTTTGGGGATGGACCAAAACACCCACCCAAAAATATTCACCAACCGGAGGGAGGGGTTGACCATGACGGGCGCGCGATGCGAGTCAAGCGTATGCTAGAACCAAGCTTCATCGCGTGTTACCCTGGCAGCGCTTTTTCTCACTTTTGTGTTCCAAGCAAGAACGTGTATATTCCCGCTCTGACCGCCTCGCCCGCTGGCTGCTTCAATCCTCACGGCGAGCCCGACTTTCAGCTGTATTCGGTAGTCCAGGCACGTAAGTCTATTCGTTGACCCCACGCACCAATACAGTGGGAGTCCCGAATTGGCCTGGCTGTCTGTGTTTCACACGATGGACCCTCACAGATCTTGCTGCTTGTGTTTCTCGCGCTTTCCGTTGTGGGAAGTTTCAGATACGCAAATGGCGCCGCCGCTTGAGGGTGACAGGTCATCATAATTCACGCAGAATATGTGCTGTCGTCTACCGCCGAAGCTGGCGTCTGTGGGATGGTGCATTTGCAGCCTCGTACGAGAGGGAAGAGCGAGCGTCGTCATGTTTTCAACCGTGGGCAACAGACAATTTCCTGACGATCGAAAATTCAATTTCAACTTCTCCGAGGGCGCGGCGCGATTGCCCTGACCGTGGCCTACGGTGGCTACACGGGTGGCCAAAGGGGGTTGGATCTGGTGCCCAACCTCCCCGGGGGTCAGGTTGTACGCCGACGTACGCAGCTAGCACCGCATCACGGGTTGCGGCGTTGGTCCAATCAGAAGGGCGGACTGGCAGCTTAGACTACAGGTTGTCCAAGGTCGATCCCCAACGTCCCAACCTCCTTTGGCCACCCGTGTTGAGTCAGCCACGACCAGGCCGAAACAATACTGCGAAAATACAGGCACTATTTCAGTACTTTGTTGGAGACTGTAAAGCATCGTCCATGATGGCATGTGGTGACTCGAGCGTGTGAGTTCGTGGAGGGTTGCTATGTAGTTGCCTAGACACCGGGGGCGCTATCCGAAAGAACGGCGCCCGCCACCGCAAGACGGTGTGGGTTTTGCTGTAGTACGTAGTCTCGGCCGTGAACGAGCATCGTTCAAGGTACGTACATACAGGTTTTTTGCACCTCGGAGTCAATCTGCCACGGGAAATCTTCGGACAAGGTCACAATGTGCGCTTTTCTAACTCCGCAACCCTTGGAAGAATCACGAATCCGTGTGCGTGTCATATTGGTGAGTGGGGAGGATCGTCATAGGCCAGCCTACTGTAGTTCACCCAATTTGGACGCTTGCACATACATTAGTAGTAGAGTGTTGAATAAAAGAACGTTATCATTGTTACTTCATGTAGTTTTATGGAATAGGACACATCGATACAATTTCCAGGAATCATTCTTTGGTTGGCAAGCGCGATCAAGAGTGTGTTTCGTTGCGGGAGACGGTAGCCACCAGTAAGTGTGGCATACACGGCAAGTTATCGGGTGTGCACCCAGTACGATGAAAGTGGCCTGGCCCTAAACCCTCTTTCAGCACAAAACTGACTCGGCGGCGGTCTAGATTCCAATTTGATGGCGAAGCACACCTACCTGTCGTAGGTGCATCACCAGGGCCTCAAAGGGTGGTGGGATCACTTGAAATTTTGATTTCAAAAATAGTACAAATGCGAGAGGAGCAAGTGAATGCGTCAGGGTCGCATCGTCGCTGGCGGGAGACGTCTCAGAAAACGTGATCATAGTGATGATCCCCCCGAACCATCTGCGGTAATCACCAGGCGCCGCAGCGACCTATTTTTAGTAGGTCAGTCGAACAGGGAAAATCATTATCAGAGTTTCGATTCGAAGATTCTTCTACATCTTATAACATCATGTGCTTGGTCATTGAGCCCCTCTGCAGCGGCGCATAACCTTACCCCCAAATCCCGCAACACCGTCAACTTGAGGGACACCGCATATCATGGGCCTGAGTTGGCAATCCGCACACACCCTAGAGCGTCCCTGTAGATGCCATTCATTTTCTCGCTGGCTGCTGCAGCCGACCACGGACACCGACCAAGCCATCCAAAGCCAGGCATGGACTAAGCATTTCACTCTTGGAGTCATCGTGATGTACTTGTCCAAACTCTCCCTTCCTCGAGCAAGCGGATCTACCATTTCGACGACGGAAGAGGAGAACCACCCATGCCCTCTGCCAAGACCAGGTCGGCCCCGCTACCCCAACACCAACCAGGCCGTTGCACCAAGCTAGCGATTTTTTCACCCGTTCACCAATTTACCTACCCAAGCCGTGCCACCAGGCTATTGCTATGTTACATACTCGTCAACTGAATTACGTTTCCCAGGACCCAAAGAATTACTTCGTCCTCCGACAACACGATAGTTGGGGTCAAGGTCGTGTTTACATCACACAAGGGTCGAACTCTCAAAAAGCTGCCATGGACTCTCACAAGTCCAGGCGCCAACGGATGCTCATGTGTGTCCCATGGGGACCGTCGCGAAATCCCTTCGCGAAACGCAAAAAAAACACCCATGCACTTCGGTATCCACACGAACGTTTGCCACGGGGAGCGCGTCGAAAAACGTTGTCGAGTGATACATGGGCGTAAATACGCATCATAACAAAACAAGGTCAAACTATTGGTCGTGCACAACGCTGGTTCTGCACCGTCCACACGCTTCATTAAGGAAAGCCGAGAGTGGACTCGAAACGCTTGGTGCTGCGCACTCAAACGCCTTCGGTCTGGCGCCCCCCTACTTAATTATTCCACGATCCCGTATGCGCCCCTCACACACACAGCATGCATATGGTATACTACAGTACACCTCAGCGACCGCCTCTACAACGATGTCCTTCCCTTGGTCGACAGGCGCCTGGGTTTGACGATTTCGGGCAGGCCTTCGGCAGCATGCCCTGCAGGATATCACCATCTGCGGCGACAAAACACATCATCATGGGCAGGGCTGGTGGGCGTTAGGGAGGGGTGGACAGGACATCGGCGAGAAATAGTGGGTTATGTGGAGAAAAGGTTCGATTTGAACATGCACCCCATGCAAATTGATGAAATCTTGGAAACACCCACGGTGCCCACTCTCGCGACTTCCTTGCCCACTCACAAGGATCACGTTGGTGACCAAGAGGAAGATCTCGGCGCCGAGGAACATCTTGTCTTTGTCTGCGATGCATGATCCACCTGGCCAGGAAAATAAAAGCGCGAGGCAGAGACGAGGAAAGATAAACGTGCTTTTCGTGAGCGCTAAATAGCACCAAGGCGGACTAAACAGATTGATGGGTGTCGCAGCTGGTCATTTGAGTCCTGCGAGAGTCGGTCCCACCTCCACGAAAAACGAAATGTGTCGTCTTGGGAGCAAACGGGCATGTTCTGGATAACGTGGGCGTCATGCACAAGGTCGAAACAGTCATGCATGGAGAGCATTCCTACGCGAGCATGTCTTCCGAGCAAATGAGTACAAATCCGAGCAAATGAGTAAAAATCCGAGCAAATGAGTAAAGAAAGGCCAGCATCCAAGATGGTGAACACAAAGCTCTGCGAGGGGAGAGCCTCGCTCTCGCTGATGGGGTCTGGACGCCCGTCGCGCACACGGGCGGAGCAAAAGTCAAAACACAAAGTGCCCCACCGAGTGAGTCAGAGAGAGAGCAAAATCGTGCCCTGTCTAAAACCAGGTAACTATGAAACTAAAACCCGAGAGGACTAAATTGTGAGACACGCGCGCGAACGATGCGCCCCGAAGGGAAGGACAGGTGTCCAAATGCCAGACGACGCCACCATGTTATGTAGGAACAAAGAAATAAAAAGGGAAGGGAGCACGTCCGTTGCCTCTTTCTTCGGGTACTCACAGTTGTTTTTTTATCTCTTGTTTTAGCCTTCTTAGACCAGGTCCGCTCGTGCGGGAGCGCGCTTGGAATTTCGATCCTTCTTCAAGCTTCTTCAATACCCCACGACGACATATATATGTATATATCGAACGAAAATTCAAAACATCCATGAAGCGCACACACAACGTTAAAGAGCGCTCATACCCAGCTCGAACACTAGTTGCTCAATTACACTGCTCAACCTGACAACCCCTCCAGCCCTTGCGGGGGGGTCGACTATAAGGGCCAATTCTATCCCATAAAAGAAAATAATAAACGACAACCATTTTTTCGCCCTTCACTGATCTGTTGCTGTCCACCCATCAATGCGGTGCATTTCTTGAACACTTTCTGTCAATATCGTGGTGCTGTGTGTATGACAGGCACTGCCGTGAAGCTGAAACACATCAGATGTGCCAGCTAAACATAGCACCATGCCTTCATTCGGCCGATTGGTGTTGGTTTATATATAGTCTGCGTCAATAACCACCTTTTTGGTCTGCGCCAACGTGACAAAATGTACGCATGCATACAAAAAAAGTAGGCATAGATATTTAGCCACACAAAGATACTGTATGCGCATGTCTGCGCACGCACCGCCGCGTCTCTCTCGTGTTTGGAGGCACATTCCGCGCGAGGGAGTGGTGATACGTACAATGGTTGTGTCCGTCTTCATTCGAATTTCGTCATGATTTGCATCGACCCGGCTCAACCCGCTACCGCTGTACAGTAAATAGATGTCCTTCCGTGCGGCTGACTACAGAAAATAACACTTCTTCTGCCTCCTTCAATAGGCCAGCCATTGGCTGGGACACACAGCAGTGAGGGGGAGGAG